GCCACTCGGCCGGCCCTATAAGTTTTGACAAACATAAACAGCCCTGTAACCCCAGTACATGAACCGTTCCACTACCCCTCAAATTCTCCAATGCTCTTTTTTGGTCACCCCCTCTCCTCACCTCAGCCCCTGGCAACCACTGATCTGTTTTTCTCCCTATAGTTTTGCCTTTGCAAGAATGTACTGTGGTACAATAGAATTTTTATTGAGCGTGTTTTTAGTCTTTGGAGCATACAGATAACCTAGCCAATACCTAGCTTTGTTGTAAAAGCTTTGTACACAGAGAATTCACCTCTTGCTTCTTAGCCTCTGGATCTGTGAAGTTCGTTTATAGCGCAGGTATTTATTGAGATGTTAATACTACATGTCCAACACTGTGACAGATATGGGGACATAGAGTTATAGGAGACAGATGAGTGAATGAATGATTGAACTTAGCCTGATAGATGCTGTGAAAGAGAGTTGCATAAGACTATAGGAGAGGTCCTCAACCCAATCCAGTGAAATCAGTTTCTGAGGGGAATAGGGCCCAGGCATTAGCAATTTTTTTTTTAAAGGGAGAGGAACGGTATATGACATGCTCAGTGACTACAGGTAGTTATGAGTGGAATATAAATGAAGAAAGTGGTTAGAGATGAAGTTAAATAGAGCTTGGGGACATATTGTAAAAGGAATTTTTATGACTTGCTGAGGAGTTTGGACTACATCCAAAGATTATGGGATTTCCCCTCATCTCCCACCTTTTTTTTTTAAGATTTGTTTTTTTGTTGGGGGGAATTGGGGAGGGGATCAAACAGTGTTGGGGAATTGGGGGAGGGGAACAGCCAAGTTGTTGTCCTTCAATCTTAGTTGTGGAGGGTGCAACAAGTTCAGCTCTAAGTCCAGTGACGCCACTCAGCTCAAGGTGCTGTGTTCAATTAGTTGCAGGTGGGCATAGCTACCATCCCATGCGGGAGTGGAACCAGCAACCTTGTTGTTAACAGCCCATGTTCTATCCACTGAGCCATCCGGGCACCAGCTCAGCTCAAGGTGCTGAGTTCAGTCTTAGTTGTGTGTGGGTGTAGCCACCATCCCATGCTGGAGTCGAACCGGCAGCCTTGTTGTTGTTGAGAGCGTGTGCTCTATCCTCTGAGCCACCTGGACGACAGCTCAGCTCAAGCAGGCGGGTGTAGCCCACCATCTTGAAGAGGCAACCTTGTTAGGAGCATGTGCTCTCACCAGCTGAACCATCCTGCCACCTGTTGGCAGCTCATCAGCAACTCAGCTTGGGTGCAGCTCACTGGCCCATGTGGGAATCGAACTGGTGACCCTATTACTCAGAGCTCGCACCCTTGAGCAAGCTCTTAACCACCTGAGCCACTCAGCCGGCCCACCCCCCACCTTTTAAATTTTATTTTGATATAGTAATTTCAAACTTGGGGAAAAGTTGCAAGAATCTTACATAGAACTCTCATATACCTTTCAGTTGGATTCATTCATTGTTAACATTTTTCCTCATTTGCTTCCTCCACTCCCCATCTCTGTCCCTGTCTCACTCTCCATCTTTACGGTTAAATACTTTACAAAAATTGAACCATTTGAAAGTCAAGTTGCAGATATGAGCCTTCACCCAAAAATACCCTAGCTTGTATCTGATAAGAATAAGGACATTCTCATACAGAGAAATGACAATATTGTTGTCCCACTTAATGTTACTATACTATCTAACATTGATTTAATATTTTGTAATATACAGTTTCAAGACTTTTATGCGTACATTGCACTTGTCATTTATTCTTTTTTTTCTTTTAAAGATTTTATTGGGGAATTGGGGTAGGGGAACAAGACAAGTTGCTGTCGTTTTGTTCTTCAGTCTAGTTGTGGAGGACGTCACTTCACTGTCCCATGTTGGTATTATCATTGCGCTCTTCCCAGGTGAGGCCGTCGCTTGCCGGCCATTCGACCGCGGCTCATGGCAGCTCACGAAAGCGCATGCCAGCTGCCGGCCAGTCCTACTGCAGCCTACGCCGTCGCCGGTGACTCACAGCAGCCCAGCTCCAGGTTGAGCTGTTGTTCACCATCTTAGCTGTAGAAAGTGCAGTGTCACTGGCCCTCTCATGTGGGATTCGAACTGGGGCCCTGCTGCTCAGAGCTGGCGTCCCAAGCCAACTCCTAACCAATGCGCCATTTGGCCAGCCCTTGTCATTTATTCTTACTTTTTAAATCTAGAATAGTTCTGTTGCCCTTTTTCCTCTTTTGTGAACTTGACATTTTTTTATGGATGTCATCTGTTTATTTTTACAGAGCTTTTTAAAAATTATTACATTTATCAGGGTGAAAATGATTAGTAAAATTATATAGGTTTTAAGTGTGCAATTCTGTAATACATCATCATCTATATATCGCATGGTGTGTCAATTCTCCTTCTGTCACCATATACTTGACCCCCTTTACCCTCTTCTACCATCCTTCTCCCCATTTAACCTTTAGTAACCATTAAACTATTATCTGTGTCTATGAGTTTTTGTTTGTCTTGTTTGTTGCTTTCACTTTTATATCCTATATATGAGTGAAGTCATGTGGTTTTCAACTTTTTCTGTCTAACTTATTTCGCTTAGCATGATAATATCAAGATCCATCCATGTTTGTTGTGGCAGTATTTCATCTAATGGCTGAGTAATATTCATATACATACATATATATATATACACACACACATATATGTGTGTGTGTGTGTGTATATATGCGCACCACATCTTTATCCAATCATCTATCAAGGATACTTTGGTTGTTTCAATTTCTTGGCCACCGTGAATAATGCTGCAGTGAACATAGGGGTACATATATCTTTACGGATAAATGTTTTCAGATTCTTTTGGGTAGATACCCAGAAGAGGGATTGCTGGGTGGGTCGTATGGTAATTCTATTCTTAATTTTTATTTTATTTATTTATTTTTTATTAAAGATTTTTATTGAGGAATTGGGGGGATGGGGACAGTGCTGGGGAATTGGGGGAAGGGGAACAGACAAGTTGCTGTCGTTTTGTTCTTCAGTCTAGTTGTGGAGGGCGTTG